GCAGCTCAATCAGCAGCAGCAGCAAGCACAGCAACAACAACAGCAGCACCATCAGCAACAACAGCACCAACAACAGCAGGACATTGTCAGAAGTACTGCTGCGGGGACGCAGCAGCTTTTCTCCTATAAAATGGCATCCAGCTTTCAAAATCCGGCAACGACCGGTACGCAATCGAGCCCCGTCTCGACGTCGACGCCTGTTGGCTCCTGCATGAGGGGTGGCTACGACTTCAGACTCGGCAACGCTCCCGGATCGGGCGGCGGTGGCGTACCCGGCACTCCGTCCGCGCCACCGCCCGGCGTACAGTGGTGGTATCCAGGCGGTGTTATGGACGCGGCCGCTCAGAACAACCTTCATCAACAGTTGCAGTCGCAGCAGCAACAACAGCAACATCTATCGCCGATTACCACGCAAACATCTACGCCCCCCGTCATGTCGCCGGTATGTTCGACGATCGCGTCGTCTTCTTCTTCTTCTTCGACAACGATCGACTCTACATCGTCGTCTCACGCACGCTCTTTCTCTTCCCATCCCCCCACCCCGCCCAACGCTCTTTTTCACCCCGTATCTACCCAACTTCTCTTCCATCCGCCTTTCTTGCTTCCATCTTTTCGCTTTTCTCTTTCCTTCCTTCCTTCCTTCCTTCCTTCCTTTCTTCCTTTCTTCCTTCCTTCTTTCCTTCCTTCCTTTCTTTCTTTTTCTTTCTTTCTTTCTTTCTTTCTTTCTTTCTTTCTTCCTTCCTTCCTTCCTTCCTTCCTTCTAACTTTCACGTTTCTACCCCGTTCACCGTCATATTTTCGCGAAAAAGAAACGAAAAGTAAGGGAGGCTTTCGCGTAGCAGGCTTCGCGCGTAGATCGATCGTAGCGAATTACGCATGAAGCTCGCACGCTCGCTCTTTCACTCGCTCACTCGCTCGTTCGTTTTTTCGTTCGTTCGTTCGTTCGTTCGTTCGTTCGTTGCTCGCTCGCTCGCTCACTCACTCGCTCGCTCGTTAGTAGCTCGCTTGTCCGATCGATCGCGCGCTTCGTAACTTCACAACCGAAGCTTCTCTCTCTTTCTGGGTCTCCTGACGCCGTTGTTATTACCTATCATGCTCGAAGCCACTATCGTTTTCCATACGTTTTTCTTCTCTTTTTCATTAGTTAGTTCGTTCGTTCGTTCGATTGTTCGTTATCATCGTTCCTTCTCGTTTCCCTTCTCGCGATCGTTTTTCTACATTGAGGAAATCATTTTCAATTTTTTTTCTGTTCTTTTTTTAAATTTTCTTCTTGTTTTGTTCTTCCTTTTTGTTTTTTTTCTCTTCTTATTTTTTTTCCTCTTTAAAACGCCCGCTCAAGAGGACGCGCGAGATTCCGATCGTAAAAAGGATCGTGAGGGAGGCTCTCGGTAGTTACTGTCGCCGTTGGAAAACTGGTTTGTTTAGGCGCTAT